TAATAGCAAAAGCCTCCAAACCAGCCGGTGGGCAGCTGTGCCCATGCAGGGGCACCCCTGGCTGCTCCACAAACTCAGCACTTTGCTAGGTTTCAGGAGTTTTGTTTTTTCCCCCTATTCCCCCCTGTCTAGTGGGGCTGGCATTGCTGGGTGTGTGGCCCCTGGCAGCCTGAGGTTTCAGCTCCCGGGCTGGGCACCACTGAGCCAGAACCATTGTGGGGGCTAAGGCATGTGGGCACATGTCAGCAAATGTCTCCTTTCCCACTGGTCTCTGCTTTCGTTTTTTCTTTTCATACTTCTTTTAAAATAAGATCTTAAGGGAAACTGTACCTTGAGTCCCAGAAGCACCCCAGAAGGTGGTGAAAAGGAGCCCCATAACTCCCTGTGAGACCCTTACTACATAAGGGTACAGCTACAAAACAGTCCAGGAGCAAAAATACTGAGGTAATACAAGTCCAGCCTGGCCATGCCTTTGGGACCACAGTCTGGGAGCTGATACATCATCGACCATTAAAATTCCCTCCAAACTAAGAGCCCTCCCAGCAAATACCCCAAACATTGGCTGACCAGAGCCCACAGGTCTGTCACCATGTTTCCAGCCTGGCATGGACTCCCAGGCTGATGGGGACAGAAAAGACCTCCCAGGAGACTTTTTTTTTTTTTCCTGGGAGTTTCCCACCCCAACAGGTCAATAGAATACCTGAAGTCAGAGTGCATTTCCCACCTGCTGGGCTTATTTCCAGAAAGCCGTGTTCTGGCTGCTGATCTCTGCGCCAGCCAGAGGACAGCAGTCGCCTTGCGCTTGCAAGCTGCTGAGAGAGACAGGGATGCAGACATCACCCCGGGTTACAAGGGAACAGCAGAGCCACTGGAAGGACTGGTCAGAAGTCCGCCCCCAATGGCCCAAGCAGCCTTCTCTGCATCCCCACTGCGCAGAGCCGGACTGCCACAGCTTTCCCAAGCATGGCACTGGGGCTGCCAAGTGGGAGATGGCACAGGAGATGTCTGCTCCACTTGGCTGCTTTTCAGGGACTTGCAAGCCCTGATGCATTTCTTCGGTGCCAGCACTCACCCTCTCACTGCAGCCCCTTTCTCGAGGCGTAACTCCAGAACCAGCAGGTTTTGCTCATGCTTGCCTCCCGCCCTGGAGGATTACCTGAATGCAGCCCACCCTATCCACCCAACTGCGGCAGAGACGGCATTAGAGACATAGAGCCTGGAAGCTCCTCTGTAGTCAGCTATCACAACCTTGGCCTCATGCCACACCCTGACGGTCGTGTTTGCACACAGCCCTGAAAGGGGTTTCATCAATGTTTGTGTGGCTGAATACACGCTGTAAGTTACAGCCGAAATCCTCCTTCTGTGATTGTGCCAAGTCAAGGCAGGCATAGCATTTCCTCGAGACACCCCATGACAGAAAGCAGGTGACCTGCTTGGGAGTTTCTGCTGTGGAAGGAGCTCACGACTCCTGAGTCAACACTGCATTTCCCAAGGGCCCCACCAGTTCTGGGAAAAAAGGTAAAAAAGATCCAGTCCCTGCCATGTGCCAAAGCTGAGAGCTTGGAAACAACGCAACACTGCATGGGACAGCATACAAACACCTTTTGTTCTCAGTCCTGCTTGGTGTTATTACAGATGGTTCAACGTGTTGAGAACAGAGTTAGAGACAACAGAAGATCAGGCACTGTCAGACCATCAGGTCTTAGGATTGACAGTCACTGTATCCTTGGCATAGCCCAGCCTGCAGCCAGCCACCCATCGACCAGCAGTCCCTCAATGCTTTCACGCTGCTTAGAAAGCATTAGTGGGGCCCTTGACTACCAGATCAGCAGGAGAGGTGCCAAAGTCCACAGAAAGGTGTAGCTCATGCCTTTGTACCCACCTTACAAAGGCTCACGACTGCCCTGTATCACTGCGTGCAGCTGTAGGTGGATGCAGCAGCTGCTCTGGAAGACAGCTGGGGCCCCTCCTGCCTCCCAGAGACCCTACATCTTCTTGAGGAAGGGGAGACCACACTAGAAAACATGGCCAAAATTACTTCCAAAACAAAACAAAATCAAAACAAACATGCAAAAAAATCAAAAACAATAAGCAAATAAGGAAAGGCATGGAAGTATTCACTGTTTCACCAAAATTCAAGGTGTTCTCTTAAAAAATCTAATTTTCCTGCAGAGGCTAACTTACACTTTTTGATCAAGTCCACCACAGGGAGAAGGTCATCTACAGAACCAGGAATTCAGGTAGTACAAGCTCCAGGATAAGACATTTGATGGAGGAGCTTTTCCTTTTCTGAATGGTTTTTCTTTACTTACTTTCAGTTTTTCAAAACCATGGGTAACTTGCCAATGGTTTCACAATCTCAGATCCCTGAATACCACTGGAAGTGCTGTTGCTGATGAAGTCTTACACCCACAGGGGAAAAAAAAAAAAAAGAAAATATTAACTTCTTGTAATTTCAGGTAATCAGAGAGGTTCAGAAGAGCATGTACCTCTTTGCAGGGCCAGTTATTCACCTTACTTGTACTATTCACCTTCCTGTACTTGACAGGAGTCAGCTTAAAGAAATGGAAGTAATAGTCCAACTCCAATAGTAATAAGGAAGTACGAAAGAAAAAAAAAGTATCTAAAGTATAAAGGTCAACAGGAAGATGTGTATTCTAAGGGCCTGTAAAGTGCATTCACTGCAGTTCTCCAGCCAGGAAATTGCACAAACAAAATGATGGGAGCAGCAGCAATATTAGGCATTTGTGCATCTTCCCAGCTTCGCTCCTACACTCAAACATCAAGTCCAAACCCATTCCCTGCATCATTTAGAAGGTGGGTTCCCAATGATTTTTGCTGCTCTCCAACTGCCCATCAACCACATGAAGAACCAAGCAACAGCATCATCTTTCTAACCAGCAGGTCAGAAACTGCCCAGCTCTGGGAGCCCGTTTCCACCCTCTTCTGCAGGCACTGTAGGGGATGGTGGGGAGACATCTCCTACTTGTGTGTGTGTAATTAATTCCCATGTCTGTCAAATGTCCCTGACCCCAGGATGAATACACATCAAGACACGACTTCTGTCACACCCAGGTCTTCAGCAGAAACAAGGAGAACTTAGAGCAAAGTCTAAACAAAATACTTAATATTTTTGGTCAGAATGTTGTCCTGCAGTCACACTGGGCTGATATTTTGCTATTGAAGTGGGATTTTCACATGCAAGAACTTGCCATGGTCACCCTTCAAGCTTAGGTCAGCTTGAATTTCCTTCTTCCCCTCTATCAGCTTGGCCACTAAGCCCAAAATAATCAAATCTCTTGGTGCCCTTCCATTTGACACCACTCCTCTTCCACTGACAAGGAAAACAGAAATGCTGAGCAGGCAGGTATTTTGGAAACACTGTACCAAGTGAATAGCTGGAAATGCCAAGGGAAACACTGCTGTAATTCTGATGTGTGATGCACAAAGCCCTTAGCTTGGCTTTTGGAGACGTTTCAAAATAAAACACAGTGGCCAGGCTAACTCGTAACTGTTTATTGTAAATCACCCAAGAGTTTACACATCATTAATGGCAAAGTAACACTGTTAAAACACGTGCTGGATGAAATACAGAATAAAGACAACTCTTTTATATTATATGGTATCATTTAAAAAACAAGAAACAGAACAAAAACCAAACCATTTTGGTTTTTTTCCAGTTGTACATCTTTCCTGAAAATATCTGGGCCTGAGTCTCAGTTATCTTCAGATCCCCGCCTTGCCCAGGGCATGGGCCACACAGCTGGGAAACAGGCACTCCCTCTCTGAGGGGCAAGGTGGTAACCTTCTTTATAAATTAAAATCATGCCCTCTATCTTCAAAAGTGCTCCAGTGCTGACAGTACAAAGCCTCTCTCCTGCACTGGCTAACATCTAACACAAAGGGCTGTATGTCCCATTAATTCCACATGCCTTTTTTAAAATTATTTCCGCCCCCCCCCCCCCTTTTTTTTTTATTTAAACAAGGCAACTGTTAAAATTCAGAAGCTACATAACTGTCTTTATATTTTGCTCAGAAACCAATGGATGTTGCATGCAGCTGAAATATTAGTAAGTAGAGACTGTGACTTAGATAAAGGTCAGTTTTCTAAGACCTGCTAGTCAAAGGCAGAAAAAGAAATTAAGAGGCCTCTTGTACAAAAGGAGCTAAAATATGCATGCATCGATGGCCATGACCGATTAGAATATAACTTAGGTCTCCAAACATTGAAACCAAAGCTTTATTTGGCTTAAGACATGGTTGAGCTCTATACCTTTACAAATTACAACCTATATGCAACAACAAAGGAATCATCTCAACATAGCATTTGTTGGTATTTTGGCCTGTATAGAGACTAATCTTCAACACAAAAGCCTGCTCAGCAATAGATGGTTTTCATATTTAGCAAAGACAGCAGCGCACCGGGCTGGCTGAAAGGGCTAACAAAAAGAAGCAAGCAGGTTTTCAAACTAACATCTAACTAAATTTAGGCTGATTTTTCCTCTTGGACATCCCATTTTTCATTGGTGCTGTCACTGTCCTTTCCATTACTCTGTAGTTGAAACAGCACATTGGGCCCTGCCCCATCCCCTTGAAGAGATGTGTCTCAAAAGCATACTTCATTAACAGTAGAAACAAAACTCTAACTGCACTTGGAAAGGATAGTTAGTTCCTCCAACCTGCCAAAGTTTACCATGAACAAGCAAACTACAATGTATTTCAGACATGAGCTACAGTGACTAAAATCAAATCTCTCTCCTGTTTAACTGTAATATTAAATAATACGTAACATTTTACACTTAATAGTCTGAAGTTTGAACATAACACAGCTAATAAAGAAAAAAAAAACGGGGTCAAATCTGTTCCTGAGGAATTAATTTGGCCCAACTGATCTGAAAAAACTGATTTTACTCAGAGGAAAATAAATCCACCACAGACACAGGGGTGCGCGCACACCCACCCACGTGTACAACAGTCCTGGCACAGAGAAGTGTTACTTTTCAAGCACTGCCATCTCCAGTCCTTTCCTTGCGAGCCTGGATCATCTCCTTCGGAGCCTGCTTGCGGTCAGTGACCAACCCCAACCAAAACATGAAGTCAATGAACCAGGTGGTGGGGTTGAACTTCAGGCCCAGCTCACTGGCTGAGTAGTCAAATGGGAAGGTGTGGTGGTAGTTGTGGAAACCCTCACCTGAAAAACAGAGAGGGAGCTTGAAGACCACATGCCTGGCATGTTTATGAACTTAGGAACGTGCTCGGGCAGGACATCCCAACACCCGTTTCCCAAGTCCGGAATACAGCACAGGTTATGCTCCACCCCTGGCTATGGGAGACCTCTGGGGCAGACCCACAATGGACTCCATTTCAGTGCTTTGCGCTCTTCTCCCCAGTAGGAAGAGGCATGTCCCACCCCTTATACTCAGGGAAGAAAACTGTTAAGTGTTTCAAGAGGGGAGATGCACAACTGAGTAAGAAGCAGAGTCACTTACTTCTGCTGCACCAGCCAACTGCTGAGAAAAGAGGATTGCTATTGTGAACACGTCTCTGGCCAGAGACTACATGGCATTACTTCCATGTGGGCACCATCAGTAGAACAAGGGAGCCTTCCTCTAGGATGCACAAGCTCCAGCCTCCTCCAAGCCCTGGCTCCAAGTGGTGTCCAGCTGCAGGTGCCCAAAGCCCCGACCACGGTGAAACAGGATGGGATGTCGCTCTGAGTTTGCAAAGCTCTACCCAGGGCTACAGCACTTACCAATGGCTCCCAGAGTGACAAAGGTGTTCTGCCTGGGGTTGATGTACTTGTCGTAAGGGCGGTTGCCGTACATGTGAGCAGCGCTGTTGACCAGCCAGGTGACATTGAGGGAGATGGTGTACCGGAGGATGGAGGCAAGGAAGTAGGCATTCCACAGACTCTCACCCCAGAGGTACCATGGCACAAAGGTAGGGATCACAAAGCACATCAGCACAACAGAACTCTTGTAATACCTGTAAGGAAAGAAAAAGACACCATTACTGTGATGGGAATGACAGCTGTGGTGAAGTGGGGTTGCATTGCTGGAGACACGGCTCTGTCAGAAATCCCTGGCATAACCTGGGCCGGCCCTGTAACTGGGGCAGCAGGTAATGTTTCAGACATCCACAATCATGACATAATTTTTCCAAGTGCAATTCAAAATGCCAAGACAACCCAAAACCCCGAAGCAGCAGGTAACACTGGAGCTGAACAGCTGAGACCCAGTCCCAAAGCAAACCTGCTAAGTTGAGCACCTTTAAACCTGGGGAAGTGCAGAGCTAGCTAGGGTCCAGCTTGGGGACTGGAAAAGCCCAGGACATGGCGAGGCATTGGTGGAGCTGTGTTGGAAACATGTTCACTGCCAAGAACTTGCAAAGACTTCCCCTTGTGCTCAGATCAGAAGGAAACCTGCAGCACAGGGGAGGAGCAGCAACTTTCTATACCACTGCTGCGTGAGCTCCAACAGTGGCAGCAGACCCAAATCAGCTAGTGAGACCCACAGGCACCCCAACAAGAGTGAGGAGAAAGATGCACCTTGGCCTGGGTGCCAGGATTACTGCTGCTCTCCCAGCTCACTGGCTGGCACAAGCCCTGCCACCCATTCCATATATTGGACAAAACCAGTGTGCAGTGTAAAATGGGGAGGGACGACGCTAAACAGTCTGAGAACAAACAGGAAAGCTTTATAGTACAGCTAAAGCCATGTGCCCAGGCAAGACAGGGAAGAGAGCATAGGATGAAGGGAGCACAGAGGTGAAGAGCAGAGACCATAGCGGGAGAAACAGAGAAAAGTCATGCTGGGGGAATTTATCCAACGCACGTGGAGAAAGGGAGCAGCTCAGCAAGAAGTGGGATGGTAAAGCCAAAAGCAAGATAGGAAATAAATGACTCTAAATGGAGAACAGGCTAACAGCACTCAGGAGAGAGTAGCAAGAGAGTTCAGCTCGGGAGCCACCTACAGTGTGTCCCCAGCTCAAGAGGAAACAAGGCCCCATCATCTTCGTTGAGCCCTTCCACTTCCCTGGAGCCTAGATTTACTACAGCCCACAGTGATCCTGGGATATCATCATCATCAAAGCAAGCTGCCACATGAAATTGGAGCGGTAGGCTGAGGTGACAGGATTTTGAAGGGTGCAGAAAGAAAAGAAATGGAAAGTAAGACCCATCTTATTTGTGCCCATATGACAGGTTTAAAATAGACCCCTGTTTCTGGAAGGTATGAGGAAGGACAGAGTTTGGATTTATTAAACAGTTATTAAAACCTTCCATTTGCTCAAATTTTTTCCGATAGGAAGAACTGTCAATTTGGTTTGACAAAAAACCAAAAAAATTTTCAATTAAAACCCACAGAGGATTGGAAAAATGTTAATATTTAGTATATAGTTAATATAGTATTTTTAGAAGAAAGAAAGTTTCCATGAACATAGTTCTCATCTATAACACACTAGCTAGTTTTGGTCATCTTGTGTATGAAATAAATTAATCTCTTGCCCTGCAAGTACTTTGTTTGACATTTTTTGTTGTTGTTTGGAGGTTGTGCCTCACATGCTGGGCTCCAGAAGATCTGCAGCTTTCCAGTAACACCAACTAAGGTGGAAAGACAGTATCTCCTCAGTTCTCCCACAGAAGTCTATCTTTGCTTACCCAAGCTAAGGCTCGCCAAGGGAAACAGTCCCCATTCTTAGCTCCACCAAAGATAACAGATAATTTCCCACTCATCTGACTGACTTCTGAACCATGCTGTAGATAAAGTTTGTGAACCTTATCAATTCAAGGCCAGGATTTAAGCAGAGCTGGAGAAGAAAAGTATTTTCCAGTCCAGAAAACTCCTTCAAAGTTCAAAGCCTCTCCCACGCCAGGAAAAGAAAATGAAATATGAAAACAGCTTATCAGGCACCAATTAAAACCATTCTGTGAGATGCAAGAAGCCCAGACTGAAGTCTTTGGTGAAGACGTGAGATCTCACATCTGAACGAGCATGAACTACGTTTTCTCTGTCTCTCTTTGACTTGAAATAGCGACCCTGTAATGAGAAACCTCCTTACCTGGAGTTCAGGGGAACCAATGCTTGAAGAGCACTGTTTTCACCAAATGAAAAATTTGTCATGAAGACACTTCACCTGTGAGCCTCTCTTTCACATTACATGCAGGATTATTGCTCTGTTATTAACAGTCATCCATGCCTGGCACAGTACTGTGATTTCAGCTGAAGTGATGTGGTTTTAAACTGATTGAGTGGTATGTCATCCACAGCTCATCAGCACCACTAAATTCAGCAAAGCTAACAATCTGGCCTTAAAATGAAACATGACAAAGAAGGGTTTATTCTTACTGATCTGACCTGCCAGGTTTTCTATGCTGTCAAAAAAACAACACATGAACCTTAATAGAAAGTAGAAACCTGAATTTTTTTATCCCAGATGAGGCAAGGTAAACTCCAAAGTCCTAAATTCAAATCCAGAGCACAGATATTTGCTAAAACAACTCCCCTGCAGAAAACACTTCACTATACATTTGCAGCATAGCCAAAGCAGTAAAGCCTGCTTCTTGTGGGATGCTGTTGTCTTGGAAAAAGTAATAACACAGCCAAGAGGAGCTGCAGCAAACAGCAAGGGAGCCTTTGCAAACAGGCACTGCTGACTGAGGAACCAGTAAAAGCAACAATATGTGGAGGGCAGTGAATTCCTCATTCCTGGAGCTCTTCTGATGCAGGGGTAACTCTGCTAGTGCACAGATTTCTCTAACGCAAAAAAGGAACTCATTTCTGGGCTCAGCTGACTGCTCCCCTCACCCACAAAACACTCAGAAATGAGTTTATGTGGTTTGCCAAAGTACCTCGACCAAACGCTTGCAGGCAGAGACAGTCCTCTTGTGCCTAAAATACTGGCACTCACACAGAGGACAAAGCATGTTGCTCAATTCCCACCTCTTGCAGACTGTGGAGCAAACTGAACTAGGTCTGTGCTAATTCTCAAGGGAGATAATTAATCCTGTAAAGAATGACAATCATGGGAGAGGAAGTGCTTAGTCTGCACTGGTCCACAGGTACCAAAGGTGAGTTTGCAGAATGAGATGTGCACTTCTGCATGAAGGCAGCTAACAGCACTTGCTCCAACGATGAGAAGATCAAAATCCCAGCAACTTCTGTTGTGACTATTTTCACAGCCAGCCCTGGTTTTTTGGAAATGGAAAGGGACAAGGACAGGGCTCACTTGTGCAGCAGAGCCTGCAGGGCCAGTCAGCAAACAGCAGCTACATGGCAACGGTGGGGGCAAGAGGGACAGCAGTCCTAATGCCTGCAATCAAGGTGGCAGGGATATCGTGGGGAAGAAAAGGTAAAGATAAAAATCAGGAATGAGCCACAACTAGACAACCAGGTGGAGGGACCTCTCCACCCCACCTTGCACAAGGGCCCAGCACTCCTACTTACTTTCTTTGGAACCTGACAACAGGGTCATCCAGCAGGTCAGTGAAATCCAGTTTCCTCCCCTTCTCTATGACATCTCGGTGCTTGCGCACGAACAGCCAGCCGATATGGGAGAAGAAGAAGCCACGGCGGGCATTGTGTGGGTCTGCATCCGTCTCCGAGTACTTGTGGTGCACACGGTGGTCTCTGCTCCACTCATAAATGTCGTTCTGCACAGAAAGTAGGGCAGGGTGAGAGGAGAGAGGCCGGGTGCTGCTCCAGCAGTACCACTTCCAGCTCCTTCCCCACACAGTAACAGCAACGAGCCCCTCTCTGATGCTCATCAAAAAGAAGTTATCAACTAAAGACAGCCTGAGGGACCCCAGCTTTGCAGACAGCCAGTCTATCACACTGCTCCTGTCAGGGCCCACACAAAATGGGACATGCTCTGGGAACCGGTGACAGATTGGACATGTCCTAGGCCTGGAGATGGCTGTAAACCAACAGCCTCTTGGGAGTTACCATCATCAGCCTGCCCTGGTCCTGTGTCCTCCCTGGGTGTTCACTGTGTGAGGATGGACACTGCGCTGGAGGGACCAGGTACATACATGTTTACACTATTATTTTATGACCCTGCCATGAGGGAAGCTTGCATATTTATTTTCAGGGCACTACTGTGCAGAGACACTCAGTTCTGGCATCTTTTTTCTAGGCTAGTTGTGGCTGGTTACCACTGATACCCTCCAGGCACAAACACAACTCTGAAAATGGGACAGAGCTTGTGGAACACTACATGTGCCTTTTCCTGACCTGAACAGGAGCTGAACTTGCTCAGCCTTTTGGAGGGATGCGTCTACCACAGTAAAACCAGCACCTCCATTTAAATTACTGCTTTGCCTGCAGGGATGTGTACAAGAGCACAGCCTTCCAGTACTACAGGAAAAATGGGGAGAGACTCTTTATCAGGTAATGTAGTGATGGGATGAGGCATAGTGGTTTTAAACTGAAAGCGGGTAATTTACATTAGGTATTAGGAAGAAATTTCTTACTGTGAGGGTGGCAAGATACTGGAACAGGCTGCCCAGAGAAGTTGTGGATGCCCCCTCCCTGGAAGCGTTTAAGGCCAGGTCGGATGAGGCTTTGAACAACCTAATCTAGTGGAAGGTGTCCCTTCCCATGGCAAGGGGGTTGGAACTAGATGATCTTTAAGGTCCTTTCCAACCCAAACCAGTCTATGATTCTACTACTAAGATATCAAAGGAAAGATGCCTATTTTATGGGAAATCAAGTCTTGCATTTGCAGCCAGGGTGGAATAAAAGTTTCAGACCCATAACATGAGCTCAGCATTGGATCAGATACAAAGCAAGTTCAGTCTTGTCTCTGCTTAAGCTGTCAGCCGATAAGGGTCACTGAAATGCCTTATGGCTCTGAATGGGATTATGTGGATTGCAGGGAGGAAGGGATGGACCCCAATTTCAGACTTGGATCCGTAAAGTGAGACCTTCTGAGTTTACTCAGCTGAAGGTATTTCAGCCTCCCAGTTTGCTCTGCAGTATGCAATGGCTATTTGTCTAAACTGGTAGTTTGTGCAGTGGTGCCGAGCTACTAGTGCAGGGTATTGTAAGCATGTGTAACATTTGCAAAACTCAGGCCACAGACTTATCTGTGAATTGAATTGCCCTACACCAGCACCAAAACAAGGAAATGTTAGTTAATGCCCAGATCCACAAGAGTGAACCTTAATCAGAGAATGCTTATAAGAGTCTGCTTTCCTCTACTATTTCCACCTTTGCACAGCCAGGGAGGTACATAGGCAGTAATAGCCAAAGGAAGGAAGGGCATTGGTTACTTTTAGGGACAGCAATAGCACCCACAACCACCAACCACAGCAGCTTTGCTGCCAGCAGAACTGAGCAAACCATTTGTGGTGTCTGTGAAGTAACCGCAGTGCGGCAGCCATCATGGCGCTCAATATACTTGCAGGACATAGTAAGCCCAGGCTAATGACAACTGTGTGTATCTATATTTTGTGACACAAAAGCCCTAATGTTGAAAGCATTGCAGAAATCATGTCTCTTAGCTGCCAATATTTGAGAGAAAGCAGTGAGGCTGCCTGTGCTGCTGAGGGGACTCCAGGAACAACTGCAAAGAGCAGCTAAAGAATACAGCTCAAATGCCTGTGTGTCCAATTTCAGCCTTGCAAAGATGAACTCTGTCTGCAAGATCCCACAAGGGACAGGTGAAGAAAAGCCCCAGAAAGATCTCAGCTCCACTGCACTCGCTTGTGCTCAGCCCTGTACTGTTGTCAGCTATGGCCGCAGGGACACTGGGAGTGGGCTGGGGATGATGGGAACAGTTTTCTGCAGCCCTGACTCATCCAAGCCATTGAGAGGAGGCAGTGAAGATCAGCCCCTTACCAATGCTCCAGTATGTCGCACCTTAACTATCCCACTGCACAAGAGAACAAAGTAAACTGAGTGAAGCAAAGGAAGTCATCAAACTCCTCAGTGAGAGCAAGGGGAGATATTCACCTTGCTGCCATCTTATTTTTTTTCTGCAGAGAAATCCAAGGGAATGAAAGCATCTACACTGCTTCCAGTGGCTTCAGCGGGAATATCCAGAAGACTAGAAAATGCCAAGATTAAGTCATTCAAAAATGACAGAGTTATGCAAGAAACACACCTAGAAAAGGTCCTCTTCCTTAACCAGAAATAATTTTTCAAGTGAGACTATTGATCAGTTTGTCACAACAGCACTCGATAAAATTATCTGTGGGACAGCAGATAATCAGGTAACCAGGGCAAAGCAATAATACTGTGGTAAATTAACTTGGCTTTTCATACCATAGCAAAAACCTACAGGGCTGGTAAGAAAAATTATTCCCCACATGAAAGGGTTAGGAAGCTGTGAAACAACTGAATTGCATCCAATTAAAAACCACAAAATGCTAAGAGGAAATAAAGGCCAGCAGCCAGAACTGTTGGCAATAAATACACCAAGAACTGGAGCATAGCACGCGTAAATATGCTCTGAGCATATTAATAGCTACCATTTTTCAGGAACACATCACTTTTGATGAAGTTTCAGGCAAACACAGGAGTGAAATCACTTCCAAAGCAGGGAGTGACAGCATCATGTTGTGACAGTGATGCAGACATGAGGTTTCATGAGCAGGTCCATAAATAAACTGCAGACCAAAACATGACAACGAACTGGGCTACGTAACAACCTGTTGTGGTTTAACTGCAGCTGGCAACTAAGTACCATGCAGCCGCTCACTCACTCTTCTCCCCACCCTGGTGGGATGGGGAGGAGAATTGGAAAAAAAAACCAACCAAAAAATGGTAAAAAAAAAACCCCAACCAAATTGTGGGTTGAGATAAAGACAATTTAACAGGACAGCAAGGGAAGAGAAAATAATAATAATAGAATGTACAAAATAAGCGGGGCACAATACAATTGCTCACCACCCACTGGCCAATGCCCAGCCAGTTCCCAAGCTGTGGTCACCACCTCTCAACGCCCCCCAGTTTATATACTGAGCATGATGTTATATGGTACGGAATACCCCTTTGGCCAGTTTGGGTCAGCTGTCCTGGCTGTGCTCCCTCCCAGTTTCCTTTCCCTTTCCCACTTTCCACCTCCGCAGTGGCATAGCACAGGAAGCTGAAAAGTCCTTGACTTAATATAAACTCTACTTAGCAACAATAAAACATCAGTGTGTTATCAACACTATTCTCATACTAAATCCAAAACACAGCACTGTATCAGCTACTAGGAAGAAAATTAACTCTATCCCAGCTGAAACCAGGACACAAGCTCAGTGTGCTGACGCAAATCTCCATACAACCACTGTTGCTGTGTGCAAATGCTCACAGCACAACCCCAGCTGAACAACACGTTTCACAGAGATGGCCAAGAGCGACGGTGCAATGCAGTTAGCAAAGGAGACAGCAGCACGTCCCAACTGAGATGCTGAACGTTAAACACTAGGAGATCAAGTAGACTTAAGCCAGGTATGACCTATTTCTGCAACTGATGTGACCGCAAGAGGCACTGTTAATTTCAATTTTGTGAGAGCTTCACTCTAGATGGAGAGAACAAACATGCTCCAACCATAAAAAAATGCACTAGGCAACAGGGCAAAAATGGCTGTATCTGATGGTGTTTCAAAGGAAGTACAGCATGTCACAGCCCATGCAGCATCAAGATAAAACTCTTCAGCAGTTTCCCTTGCCCTTCAAGAAGTCTGTGTATTTCCTCAATATTCAGCATCCAAGGATGTTGTAGGTATCTCCAATGCTACCTCGTCTTCCCAAAGCCAACATGAGGGAGATGGACCTGAAAACTCATTCAGTGTCCGCTCATGGTGGTGAAAAAACAGCCTTTAGCAGCCAATGGATGCCACAGTAATTAGGAGTGGGCTTCAGACTACTTAAGATTTAAGAGCAGGTGATTTGGTCTTTCATTTTTTTTCCAATAAGAAGGGCACAAAGGTGGCTTGAAGCTACTTTGAAGTACTTCCCTGCCTCAGAATCACACCATGTCCTCAGCCAAAAGCAGTGATGAGGCCAATGCAGCTGAGAGCAAAACCCATAGCAACAGGGGAACAGAATGTAATGAAAAGCCAATGTACAGTCTCATTGCAACCAGCTCGACACATTCATTTAAATTACCTATGAAAGATAAGATCGGCTGTAAAACAGGAGGACAGTAACAGAGGGTTCTCAAAACAGTTGTTTAAAACGCTGAGCAAAGGGCTTGTAAAAGCTCTGCAAGGAACCAAGCAGCACAAAGCAGCTGGAATATGGCTCAGCATAAAGGAAGGCTATAGTCAAAATGGACACATTCCCATATTCAAGCAAAAGCACTGTGTTCTGTGTAATGTCTAGAGGGATTAACAAGATTAATTCTTTCCACCTTAAAAAAAAAAAAAGATAAATCAAAGATGATAAATGAACAGTACAGAAGTGGGTAAAGGGACTCTTTTCGTCCTCTGTCAAGGTACGTGAACGAGAAGGCAACCAAACAGACTGAAGGGAAAAAGTTGAAAACTCAAGGCACAACACACATGTAGTACTTAATGCCAGAAGGGTTTACGGCAGCCAAGCTCAGTAAGTTTAATGTTAGTACAGGTTTGTATCTCTATTTTAAACAGCTAAAGGAGTAACTACACACCAAGAAGATCCTGGTTCTGGGCTAACTCCTAGCTGGGTGTTATACAAACAATTTTGAGGCCTATCAGTATAAGTACAGAGCTAGTAACATGCTTCTTTGCAAATATATTTGAATTTTACTGGTGAAAAATGCTGCATAAATCATAGGTGAATTAAGATTGTGAAAGGATGCCTGCTCTCCTTTCTGGGCACATCAAAATCTCCAACTGCCTGGACGGACAAAGAGACTTGATTACGCAGACATATTTGCATCAAGTTGGCCCTTACAAAAATTTCCACGTTGTCCTGTGAAGTGTGAGGCCTGACCTATGCCACAGATAGGCTGCTGGGGTGCTGAGCCCCTGATCTGGGCATGTTCAACTTAGTAATTAAGTAAGTATCACTCCTGGACTGTCTAATGCATACTGTTACATGGGTGGTGAGAGAGGCGCTGCATCCCCTGAGCCAGCAGAATGTGTAATCAGCAAACGTCTTTCTGCCAGTATTTTTTTTTTTTCCCTGTCTCTAAGCTGAGGGAATCCCTGCACAGGAGAGATAGCTGACTGGAGGCCAAGAATTTGGATGGGCAACCACAACCCCACCTGGAAAGCCATGGAGTTAGCTGCAGCCAGAAAGATCCGCAAAGGCAGCTTGGCTTTGTAGGAACGGTGGCTCCACAGGCGATGCGCACCAGCCGTCACGCCCAGGGCTGTCATCAGGAAACAGAAATATGCTGAAAGACACAAAAACAAAACACAGGATGTGCCAGGGGCCAACTGCCATTATTTTTGCTTCCTTTGATGTAAAGATGATCCTTGCCCCTGCCTGCCGATGCTTGCAGGGTCACTCAGGCTAGGCAGACAGCAGGTGAGGTTCTCAGCCCATCTCTGCTGCCCCACAGCCATGTCTTTTCATGTCTTTTCACTTCCCGCCTGTCCTCATTTAACCAGTGTGCTGTTCAGGAGAGTTTGGCAGCACTGAAGCACCATGCTGTGACACATTCACATAGTATGCTTTGACCAAGTACAGTGGAGTGGAAGTTCATCACTCATGACAGAAGAGTAGCAACAACTCTTCTAATAGGACACTGCCAGCCTCCTCCAGACAGGTCTTTGCTCGAGTCTGATCTGCCAGCTAGTTTAAGAGCATCATGTCCCGCCCCTAAAGATATGACCTGCGTCAGAGTTTCCACAATAAAGACTTCTCTTATCATTGGGAGCTCATGACTTGGTAATAAAAATGCACCAGGAACTGGAGCATTCACCATTTCCCTCAGCTTCAGGAACTGCTTTTCCTTCCCTTAACTATAAAACTGGCCAAGTAAACTTACTTTGAGCATTTTTTCAGATGGCCAACACAGTATGGGAACAGGTCTGTTCCTCACTCAGCACACTGGCTCCAGGCTAGACACACAGCCCAAGCACATGCGTCCTGCAGCATACCACCCCATGCTTAAAATAACACCCCCACTGACCACCATCACCACATCAGTACATCTCTGGTTCTCCTTTCAGCAGGGGCCACGCTCAAACATGCTCCATCTGGGTAAACCTCGCACTTCCAGGGACAGAGGGAATCGTTGGCTGGGGCAGCAGAACAAAGACAGTGGACCCAGGCCCGCCTGCTCGAGCCATGCACCTATGCACTGATTGCTTCTCCTTTGATATGTTTGTTGGTTTTGTCTCTAGCGTCTTTCAATTCCTGTGTGATGGATGATCCATAGCCTGAGTTGTTTTGACTTGTAACAAAAGAGGAGACTATGGGAAAAGGTTGGAAGAACAGTGCGTTAGAGCTGCCCCTCCTCTTGGAGAGAGGCTGGAAGGAAAACAGGAACAGCTAGGAGGAAAGTATTACATGAAAGTCCCAAATAAACTACACGACTTAAAACCACTCACATTCAAGCTGTCATATACTCTTATGTCTCTCTCCCATAGGTGTTGGGAGATGTTCCATGTCTCATCCTATGCCTAAAGAGTACAGATTCATTTTACAAGTGTAAAATTAAAACAGGAGTGTATCCAAACAGTAAGAATATTACCGGACAACCTCAAATGAGTTTGCACGATCTGAAGCAATGCGCTGTTTAGCCAGGGCTCCCTGCCACCCTACACACACAGGCATGTTTTGGTTTAAACAGACTATTTCAAATACCTAAATAAGAGTTACTGAAACAAAAAGGCAAAACCCTATACCCAAAAAGGGGTCTTCTACTTGTGTCTGTGTCTGCACAGCAGTCTGTCCAGCAGGGAACCCTGTTAGACACACAGTGGCTAGAAAGGAATTCACAATCAGCTTTTCCCAGTATGCAATGTAAAACATCTATCTTTGCAAAAAGAAAACAAAAATATATATATGTAGGTGCGAGTCTACTGTATCCCTCTATCAACTCCCAACTCACAGTGCTTGAAATTGCAGCATCTAAGAGAAAATATAATAGAAATATATTTGGTAAAATAACAGCGTAACCATATTTCATGTTGATTGTCACCCCTGCGGACTGAAGGAGTAAATGGACCTTATCCACTCCACTCGTGGATCAATCAAAAACAGATTTACCCAAACATTATGTATATGGTCCAAATTCTTGTCATCTCCTGCGCAGCAAACCAAAGCCTTTCTTACAAAATGCAACAAGCAAATGGAATCAGAATGGTCCTAGTAAAGATGATGCATCTCTAAAACCAGCTTTGGACAACATCACCTAAGAAGCAATTCTTTTCAGCAGACTGCAGTGTTCAAGCTACTCCCAGAAAAGGCTCATCTGTGCAGTTGAGCCCAGTGTGCTGAAGTCTATTGCCAAATTCAGACTTTTGCCTGCTTCCTGAAGGGAGGTACAGAAATGAATCATGCATGCTCTCTGCACATTATTTACAGATTTTGTTGAATTTACAGATTACTCTCAGATCAGTAAAAATGCCGACACCACAACAACTCGCACTCCAGTCTCTGCTGCAGTCTTGCAGTTCTTGCACATGCCTTGTCAGTGCAAGGACTTGGTCTTCTATGAAATTAGGAAAAACCTATCCTGTCATTTTCTGTATGTGACATTGAGCTGTGCAGAAACATCACTAAGTAAGGCCTTCCAAATCACTCAAATGACTGTAATTGTGGGAACGGATCTGTGACACACAGAATACTGACATTATCCAGCTAACATAAAAATATTAAGGTTATAATCCTGAATCATTACAAGAACATATTGTCTGTTGGGCTTTGTGACTAGTTAACCTCCTGCTAGTCACAGGAGCTGAAATCTCCTGTCTTCAGCAGTCTCTTTGCTTTCTTAAAGCACAGAGGGGCTTTTCTCCCACTTCAAAGCAACAGATTATTTAGTTGACCAAGTGCTTCTCAAGGCACCCATCCATCTTAATAATGATTGATTGCTTAAAACCAGAATTAAATATAAGTGGGTAGAATGAGACTTACGCAACTTTAAGGCTGCTTTTGCTTTCCTTCTCTGTCCAGTGCAAGAAAGAGGCTGAGTGGTAAGCAATGTATAGACCACATGAAATAGCTGCACTGAATAGAAGGGATTTATGCCACTTGATGAGTCAGCTCTTATAGAGCTCAGCTTAACAGAGACCCTTTCATCCAGCCCACTCCACACTACCAGTATTGCAGCACAATGGACAACAGTATTTTGGGAGTCTGGGGGCTGCCCTAGGGTCTACATGCCACCCTGTCTCCATACCTTTGAACAGCACCTTCCAGCCCAGGTCCCCTACCAACATTCCTGATTCACACCTCCAGGGAAGCCTTGTGCTACAAGTGGGAGGAGGATTTGTGCAAAACATTTCTGCAGGAGCCCTGCTGCCACACAGGCAGCCTTGCAGGTAGCATGTCTCCAGCCATCCACCAGGAGCAGGCAAGCTCAGCTGTACTTCAGGACAGGGACTGGCTGGTGGTGTGCCCAGCGAAAGGAGGGGGACTCGCGTTTCACAGGGGGCAGCTGGCATGCCCAGCTCTCCCTACAGCCACGGCGGGGAACAAGCTGACCCTGGCCTGGATGGCTCAGCAAACGGAGAGGCAGAAAGGCCAACCCAGAAGGAGTGCCAGACCCTCCCAGGAACATGCTGTCCTGATCAAATGGGGCTTTCCCAGGGATTTCCCAGGGCTTCCCTGGACCATGACCACAAGCTCCATCCTCCTGCCCCTCCAGCCCTGACTTGCCAGCCCCAGCCACTACTGCAGTGATCAAGCTAAAACGGCTGGGGCTTATACCACAACATGCCTGCTTTTTGACTTTGAAGAGGAGGAATCATAACAGCAGAAATTTCCTCATATAAATCCTGAGGGCTGAAACATCTCCAGAAACAAACTTACTCAGCAGTTTGGTAACCAGAGCAGAAAGAAATCCTGTCAGACAAATGCACTGTACAGTGATACCAGATTTCTGTGGTTCTTACAGGAATTAGGGTGCATGAAAATATTACTCGGCACTAATTCCCAATGTATAAATAGCCAAGATGGCAAATATTTGTCACGTACAGACATGTCTCAAGTTTTCCTTTGCAGAAATAATTATGAACTCAAACCAAAAATCAGACTATAAACCATTTGATTTTACATTAATTATGCACAGCTACAGTTATTACATGAGAAGAGAACCTGGCTCATTTTTGGGGGCTGGGGAGTGTGTGTGTGTATGGGGTGAACATCTCCATGAAACACGGAAGGATTACACTATGAAGCAAAGTGGCTCAGTTAATAGCAACCCACCATACCGAAAACTCCCTCTTATTCCTGTAACTAAACAGGTCTCCTAAGTAATAAAGAGTAAAAAACACAGTTGTTGCAGAAAAAGAAGGGGAAAAAATCAGAAAAACCACAAGAAAAGTAACAATAAAATACCTGGAATCCAAACAGTTAACAATATCGTTCTTTTTAATTTAGTGAGGGTACTTAATATACAAAAAGGAAGCCACTAAAATAGCCAGATTAGTCTTCTGCATGTTTTAATGAGCTAACTCTGCAACTGAGATGACTTATCAAAGCAAAACACACCCACAAGGAAACCGCAGTATTTCACACTTCACCTATAGACTGCAGACTGAGCAGTGTATCCATGTATATTAGCTTCACACATGACCACAGGCCACTGGAGACTCCAAATTCAGAGCACAGATGACCATCTTGTGGAGGAGGAATAATATACTGCTTTTCCTCCCCTCAACTGGTGCTGCAGTACTGGCAGGAGCGCAGCTTGGGAGGGGGCTGTGCTGGAGTGTGGTGGAGGAGGATGTCAGCAGCCATTGATGATGGATGTGAAGGAAGAACAGCAAGCTAGCAGCATCCCCACCTCCCCAAGACGCCCAGCTATGAGGCCAAGAGGCATTTCCACAGGGCTGTCCTCACCAGGAGGCCAAGCCGACACTGGCTGCACAGACAGGGATCTGTGAAACAAGGGGTGCTTGAGGGATAAGGATGGAGCTAGAAAAGGGCTGGGTCAGGACTCGCTAACCACAAGCCTGGGGATGGAGCACACATTGCGGCTGGGCAGGCAGGGCCAGCATCTGAGAGAGCCAGGGCATGGGAGTTCCACCAACAGTACAGCAGTCTGAGCAGGAGCTCTGAAGCCACCTGACAAAAGGTTGTGTCATGCTAATACCAAAGTAAATGAAAGAAGGAAAAAAAAAAAAAAAAAGTAAAATAGTGGAATGAGGACTTCAAGAAAAAAAAATTAAAACCAAAAAGCTAACACAACAGAAAAAGCTGTCTGGAGACATGTGGGAT